ACGTCATCTTGTTCAACATCCACAATTTTTGGTCACACCTCAGTACCAAGAATGTAACTAGATCACCAGTTCACTCTAAGGATGATGGATTTTCTTCCTTCCAAGAGTGATTGGGCATTATGGGCACATCCATGCACCGAGGCAGCAGCACAGCAGAGGTGCCCCATCTTACACACCAGACGGGTCCGCATAACCTCGCAGTCATCGAGTTTAACCTTCATGAAGAATGGATGAAAAAAAGGGACAGACTGAAGCAAGTTATAAAATGTAATACTTGTAGTTAAACTGATGAGGCATTCCCAAAAATCAAGATGTTAAGATTGGTAATATGAGCTGCAAGGCTTTTATTTTTACGTGAAGTACATTGCACATGGGAGTCGTAGCTTGAGGAGGAACTCCTGGCTCCCAGGCATCTCACTCAGTACAAAGTGAAATACTCCACTTTGGATCTAAAACAGACCAAAACCAACTGTCATTTCGCTAAAAAGAAAACAAATCTTCTGTAGGAATCTTTGTTTTGTGAACAACTTCACATTTTACAGGATTTACTCTTTAAGAAAAACACTGACTAGTTTATCAATGAAAAAGGTTATTGGTTTCTAACCTGAGCTCTTCTACACTGGAATATCCTTACAATTATTTTTAAGGGGAGGGAGAGAAGTAGCTTATCCAAAATACTCAACCTCACATGGAAAGCATAATCACCCACAACTCTGCTTTCCTGAACCCGGTATCCAGACTGTGCTCACAAACAGTTTCTAGCAGATAGGAAGCTCAATTTTTCAGTAAGTCTGCATTGCAAATCAACCTCACTGCCTAAGATTTACAGGGCAACACTATGCCAACAGTAAAATCTTTGCTAGCATGAAGGAGATAATTCCATGCAGATAATCCATTCCATGTAGATAATTATGTGAAAACAAGAAAGTGAAAGTCCAAAGCCCTGGAGTATCAACAACAGAATTCTTTCAGGAAGAGTTTAATTTATATAGAAATAATTGAATTTATACCATATTAACACTCACACAAAACAGTCCTGGCTAAAGAGCTATCAAACTGCCTTACAGAGACCAAACACTGCGACACCATGGAGTGTTCTCGGGGCTTACAAAGAAGTCTAACTAATAGGATGGTTCAGAGAAGACAACGTTAGTAAATCTGTAGTTTGAAAGGAAAATCATCTCTGAAAAACTGAACATACTCAATACGGAAAAATAATGCTTTAAGGAAAGTTCATCATAAATTACACCTGACTTAGAAAGTATCACCATAAACAGTACAGTTTGTGAATGACAATGATGCTAAAGCCAAGCCGTGCTGAACGTGTGAACTGAGAAATCAGTATTTCAAACGGATCATCCAAATGTCACGTAGTTTTTAAACATTTATATCAAAGGACCATTTTCATCAGCCTTATACCATGAACTAGGAAATAGGTTTTTTGAAGTATTTGAAAGTTTGGAATTATTGGGCATTTAAAGATCATCATATGCTTTAGAAACTAATTTAAATAAAATACTGACAACTCCATTTAAGAAAGAAAGTTATTAACCTAAATGTATATGATGCCTTATTTTTAATAAGATTATCAAAAACACTGCCAGTTATGGAAGCAGGACTATAGTTCATGACTGAACCGGCACATCCACATTAAGGCCACATATGGTATGGCTTTTACTAAAGAAGTAAATAAATAAATAACTAAATAAGTAAACTCACCAAATGCTGGTAGGCTGGTGTTATCACAACTGAAACGTTACTGTTCTGTTAGGATGGGTGTGGTGCTGGTGGAAAGTGGCTGGTAAACCATCATAGTCACTAAGACAGTGACCATACACATACATCTGGTTTATGGGTGTGAGCATACAGGGAAGCTAAGGATTCAGAGACGTATCCGTATGATTTTTAATACTGCATTATGTTTATTTGGGTGTTTAATGCCATATGATCGCTATGCTGAAGTGTTTCTAAATTCTGTGCCAGACTGGGCTATCACTGGGATATGTCACCACTGCAGATTTGTCCTGGGGGCTCCGATTTATCCCTCTTTTCCCAGTCCCTGTGGTTTCAGCACAGAGGAATACTCCTCACCCTCCCTTCTCCTTCAAACTAAAAATTCTCACCTTTTCCCAGTCCCACAGTGAAAGCTATAGTTCTCAAACACCCCAATTAGGGGGAAAAAGAAAAAAAAAATAGAGACTTGTCAAGATTCACTGTAAACAGATGACCTGGCCACTTACCTCGCTCTTCTAGAGCGAATCCCTCAAAGCAGCAGGCATCTCCCTAAAATACAAGCAACAAGTTCCTAAGGAACTCTACAGATAAGATGTCACTGTCACTTTTCGTCACAGAGCTCAACTCGCAGCAATCCAGGATAACCGGGATGGGTGGCAGCAGGATAAATACCTTGGACGCTACCGTTTGCTTTCGTAAATGCTGCACTTTGAAAAACCTTATTAAAAAACCCATGTTATTAAATTATTTCTTAAACAGCAGAGAGGAACAGCACAAACCCTGCAGCGCTGTGCAGAAACCAGGCAGGCTGGTTCCTCTGCGAGCCAGAATATTAACGGTGTATCCGAATGGTGGTTTGCAGGCTTACAAAGATGAATGAAAACATCCCAACTGGAAACTAATGATAAAACCCAACCTGGCACCCAGCGGAGGGTGTTTATGCCTTTACCTATAAAAAGGCACCTGGCTGACTGTGCTGTATTCTTCTGGAAGTGATTATTAACTACCCTTTATGTCCTCAGTAAATAAAGGCCTCCATCAACCGTAAACTTGAAATGTTGTACCTTTTACTAGTAAGAGTTTTTAGTATTTGATCAATAGCTTGGAAAAAAACATTTTACAAGTCCAGGTTTAATAGTGTGGTGACAATTTGAATGTCAACTTCTGAAAGATTTTTAAAAGGGGAAATGAAAAACACATACTACTTCACCCCTCTTAAAGAGCATGAAAAGTAAATATAATGTAAACCACTACTGGGTTTTTTCCCCCCCATAAAGGATAGTACATAATATAGAAGTTCTGCTTTGTAGAAGTTGTTTTGCACATCTGGCATGGTTGTTGTGTTAAAGTTTATCAATCTAGTTAATTTGAGTATGTTCCTCTGAAGAAAAAGTGTTTCTGAGGCCACTGAATTATTACTTGATACCATGTTTTAAATCCAGAGCGTTCTAGCCCTCTTCAAATAACAAAAAAAAACCCCAACTAGATCAGCAAGAACTCTACCTTGCGTTTTGCTTTCGGAGGGAAAAATAGTCTTTATTATAAAAGAAGTAGATTCACCCTATTATGAGCTGCAGTCGGTATTCACAGGCCCAGAGCACTTTGCCACGACACCACCCCAAACGACTGATAATCAAAGGCATCAGAGTGGAAGTAGAAATGTCATCTCTGAAGACAAGCCTGGTCTAATAAAATTCAGGTTCACTCTCTGCCTTCAAGTTCACACTGACAAATTTCTTCTTTCTTAAAAGTCTAAGTCTATATAAAATACGTAAGGGATGTAATAAACTTTTAAACCAATATTCAAACCTTTAAAATAGTAAAGAAAAGTGATACAGGACCCAGTGATCATTTTCAAAGTAAACAGTATGTTCACCAAGATAAATAAAGAGCCTGCAGCATTTAGGAAATACTGATTTTTCCATCTTAGGGACAGGCACATTAAACAGTTTATGTATTGTTTCCTATTAATACTTTATGTTATACAGGTTTCATATTTTGTCACATAAAAATTACATCAACTTTTCTGCACACGTTGGATTATCCATTACTGTTACTTTGCCAGGGAAGCTGAGAAAAAGGTGCTCTGTCCCCCCAGCAAGGACAACTAAGGGCAGGGAAGGTACAGAGATGCCCCTGTTAAGAAAAGCCAACACTGAACTATTTGAGGTCAATTAGTTGAACTGTTGGGGTAAGGAGGGTCCCCGATGTCAGGGTAGAACCTGACTTTAGAAGCACTCCCTTAAGGAATCCTGACCGGATCTATTTTCCACATCTTCAAAATTCCACAGATGAAGTCTTTCCCCATTTCTTTTAAAAACCACTATGAAGAAACTTTGCAGCGTGTATTTTACACAAACTGAAAAGAACTTTAAAAGATTCTAAGTGTGTAATTTTACAAAAAAAGGAAGTACAACTACATAAATATTGACTTAGGAATTCTAGTTTTAACTTATTTGCATGCAAGAACATTTGTGTTGATAGGTAGACAATTGTGTCCTTTTAAATTTAGGATATTTAATAAAATTTCTATGTACAAAAAAGTACTTACATATCTTTAAAACAACCTTCTTAATTCAAATTGACCAAGTCAGAGAGAATACATAGGTAAATTAAGAGACAGTGCTGTAACAGACATCGTCTGAAGTGTGACGAAGGATAGCTGTGGGCTAGGTGAGTACCGAAAGTGTTATTTAAATTACATTTTCTTCCTTTTACAACATAAACATCACTACAACAGATCCTCAGACCTCATTGCTGAGGGACAAAATTTCTAAACAGATGCCATTTTCCAGTGTTATGTTCTATACATCCAGCAATAACTAGGACAAGCCTCGTGTATTTGAGAAAGCAGAAAAAAAAACCCCAGCAAACCAGCACTGTCACGTGTGTGGAAACTGTAAGCGTGTCCATTTACAGTTCATCATGTTGGTACACAGCAGCATTATGTAAGAAGAGGTTCACGTAACTCGGTTCCCCTGTTGTGTTCCCTTTTAATTTACAAAAGGATAATGGAAATAAATCTTTTCTTTTTCTCCTTGCAGTCATTAAAGACTCATTTTTCAAAAATAGCTTCATCTTCCCATTTTCAGTGAAGCTGAATAGGCTATTTTTGATCCTGTTTTCCCAATGGCTAGATTTTTGTATTCAGTATTAAAGTAGTTTTTGGTTTGGGGGGGGTTGTTTTGTTTTTCAGAATCATAGAAGGCAAAAAAACATGTTAAAACAAATTACTTTTTAATGACCTCGTGTTCTTGTCTTTGTAGGCTTTCATATCGGACTGGTCAAGACACGGCTAATTGCGACACATGCAGGAACAGTGCATGTATTATCTATAGGTAGGTTAAAAATACTAATATTCCCACTTCTTCCTGAGTGAAAGTAATGATTTATTCACTAATGCAAGATCAATTGTTATCCTCCATTTTTCAATAACAGAAGACCAGTTTAAAAACAGAAAAAAAATTAACTTCACTAAATTAATAAAATTCAACAGACACTGTTTCTAAGTCTAAAATTTTCAGATCAAGAATAGATGATTATGGTCACTGCTACTGCTGTAGCTCTTGGATGTGAAGCGTTACAAGGTGTGAGCTTCACTTTCACAGAGCTGGAGAGATTTAGCATTTTCTGTCCAACAAGTCAACTTCAAATTGATTTCTATAGCGGTAACTACTGGATGCAGGAATTGATTTTGAGAGAGAGACTTTATAGCAAAGAGAACCAGATTCAATCTAGACAGTTTTATCAGTAAAATGACACAGCTACCCAGGCTTTTATGTACTTTTGTATTAGCGAAGAAGTTTTAAAACATGCAGGGCAAACACGTCTTGCCCAACACGAACAGCACCACTAACTTCTTCAAATCAGATGTGTGTTGCATGGAGACTGCAAACAAGTGAAGACTTGCTGTACGTGTACAAAGAGCTCCTTCAGCACACCTGATGTGAAGGTGTACGGTTCTGTAGGGTGAATACAGGTTTGCTCATTACTGTCAAACAGATAAAATTACAAACTGCTTAAAGGTTTTGTTAAAGACCTTGTTAAAGCAGGTTTGTACCTGCTACAGTCTCTCCTCCAGAAGGAAATACCTGGAGTTTGCTCTCTAGAAACAGAGGAGGTCGAAAAGGTGAAAGGATACAGCTGCCTATTTCTCTAAAGCAGAGGTTCCCCTTTTAACATTTGTCAGCTGAGACCCATTTTGGCATGTATTACGTTACAGGGAGGGGATAACAGATAGGCAGTGGTCATGACATGATGTCATCCTGAGTCTGATGATGTGTTTCTTACTGACAGCTTAATTGTCCTCCTCCATTAGAGTCTAGAAAAACCCAGCTGAATATTTTCATGTGTTGCAGGTAAGATAAAAACAAGTGGATCTCACTGTTAGAGTATTTCAGAAATATCCGGTGTATAGTACAGATGAAAATGTATAAAGATGACTTAATTACAGTGAAGTTACAAACCAAAATGAAGGTACAGATGTTGGCTAGGTCTGAAAAGCATAGGATTTCCCCCTTCGCCCCTTAATTCTCTGCTTGGTCTCTGATTTAGGCAGAAGACCTACAGCTGTTTATCTCCCAGCTGCCTAGAAGGGAAGGAAAAAAGGATGGAGAACTTCAACTCCATCTTTTCTATTTACAAGCTAACTAGAAAAGGGAATGATGCTGTTCTGTGCAGGAGAAGGAACCAATTAATTTATCCGTCCTTTCGAGCAATGTTTAGACACGTATAAATAGCCAAATCCCACCGTGCTTCCCTTGTTCTGAGCACACCCCTGCGCATTTCTTGCTCAGGGCAGCCTGGGAAGGTACAGCACAGCACATTTCTATCAGGGAAACTATTTTTGTTTCATTAGCTGAAAAAATCCAATTGGAAATTTTTTCAAATCTTGACTTCTAGTCAGCCGATTTAAAGTTAAGGAACCTTCCAGTTTCTACCACAGCATTCACTGAAAGTTAAATGAGTCCAGAAACGCAAATTTCGAGCATTTCCCTACCGACAGGCTAACAGCGTCACAGGCGGGTCTAGCTCTTCAGTATTTCCCACCAGAATGGCCATTTGGACTGAAGCTATTGATGCTGGGCATTTGCCTAAAGCAGTGTTTCCAGGGGAAGTTTTAGCAAAAAATCAGCTCAGTTTTTTGACAGATTCAGAGAATATATGCTGCAGGCAAGAAGTCTAAAGCCAGAAGACAGCACCAAACAGGGGAACTATGAGAAGACTGAATTACTAAACCAAGATAAGTGGCCAGAAGGGATAAAGGAGAAATTCACTGATGTAACTACCACTATCGCAGACTGCCTTGTAAGGAGCCTCCGTCCCCAACAAGTCCCACACAGTTCTGAAACCTCTGAAAAAGTGCAGCATTTCATTAGTGAGGATGCTAAAGCTACTCTTAAATCTAGATGCAATGATACATCCCACACCTTTGCAAGGGGTTTGCATGACAAGCGCTACAGAGTTATGGGGTTTCTCTTTGAGACAAAAGACCTTTTAGGAATAGAAAACACAGATTAAACCATTCAAGATGCACTGAAAACCTGGGTATCTCTGAGGGCACTGGACCCCGAAGCTGTCAGTAAGCGTCACGTGTCAGACCAGGAGGATCATCCTGGCTGACCTACTGCACATTCCACAGCCTGCTTTTAGAACATGCTCCTGTTGTGGACCCTCCTTGGTCTTGAGCTCTTTCACTCAAGTAGTACACAAGAGACCCGCAAGAAAAATATAACCAATGCCCTTATGGGACAAATCAATGATTTCAAGAGAAAACTAACTTTCCCATAATTGACAATTTTTTTTTTTAATATGACTCAATTTTGAACACAGTAACATGACAAAATATTCAGAGCTCTTTCTGTTGGGGGGTTTTAGCTGCTTTTTAGTATAAAAAATGCCAATACTGTTAGTAAACGTTCTAAGAATAGGTTTTTGAGAATACAGTTATTTTGCTTATGAAATTTACATTCTTTGCTATGATTCCAAATCTATTTTTATATTATTTTGGTTTTATATTGAGTATACTTTCCTTTTCCTTTCTTAGTATTAAAGGAAAAAAGAAAACCAGGTTACTTTACTTTTTTTTAATAAATAGGAAACTGATCAAACATTAAACACTATTTAAAAGACAAGGTACCAAAACCTTAAACTGCTGTAGAAATAAATAGGAAAAGAAATACATCTACATTTGACTTCCCATTTCCCTCAAAATTCGACTTATTTCTGCTATGATAAATACATTCCAGAACTTGACAGACATTCCAGACACAGGCATCACCAACACCTTCTTCCATTGCAGGAGAGGAGCCACGTTAACTGCACCCCCTTACTGCAGCACACATCAATTCACTGCTTCCACTCCCAATTAAATACCCATTTAGTTGCTATTCTGACGAGATGGAAAGGCTTGAGTCATTACCCAAAGGCTTCACCAGCCTACGGTCACTAGGATTCTGGTATGGACAGGATCGGTTGCGCTGTGTTAAACACGGCAGAAAAACTTTTACTGGGCAACACCATCACTATTCGTTTTAAATCTTGAATATAAAGTCCCAACTCCACAGCAACAGTCTAAAACAGTCGGTAAAAAGTATTCAGCATTGTGTCTTTACAGTAATTTCCAGGCAGTATTTAAAATAGAAGTAAAAAACCGTGATTAAACAGTAAAAATAAACAACCATTTTATCAAATGTTGATCTGTGTCAAATACTCATCTATTCCATTAGCATCAGTATCTCATAAACCGAGCTCATAAAACAGTTTCCAAAGCATCTTCTACAAACTAAAAAACAAATTTACAGACAAAAGACAACCTTTTACATCTCTCTTTTACAAACTAATGTAGATTCACCACTGAAAATTTTAAGGATAGAAAATAAGTTTTGTTAGGGTACATTGTCCTGACAAAGTCAACTTAAATACTGAAGTCTAGCAAAATGTTGCTATTAAGAAATTGCATTGATATGCAGAAACTGTACCAATTCCATAACACCCAAAACCCACACGGACTAAATCTTCACAGCCTGTTTTATTCTGTGATTATCTTTTTGTGGAACTGCCCTTTCCGCTCCTGTTTAAATTACCACCCCATGTGAATTTTAATCCTTGAGCAGAAATCTGTACGAGAAAATGAATCTTCTGTTTAATATTGTGTGCATTATTTTAAGGCCTTTATCATGAATTATTTCCATGAAGGAGCAGCTCGAAGAATTCATGCTAGACCTCCCTTTAGTCACAAAGGTCAGAAGTACTGAGTACCTTTTACAAGGCTACTTTAGCTTCTAGAAGTAAACTTTTTACTAGATCAAATCACTAGCCAATTTCTGCACAGGGGGAACAAAAAACTTAAATCAGTACCACATGATTGTAGTTGCTACTCAAAGCTGTGTTGACTATTAATTTGGTTGCTTTTTACTCCTTTGAAATTTTGAATTAATATATGCTGGTTTTCATTATTTGATTTGGTCTTTGATATTGAAGTTCTTCTGAGGTGCACTCCAACTATTCAACAGACAATATCTTAATAGAATCTATGAAATTTAACTCTCAATACAACAGTGGCAAGTAAAACAGGTTAAAATCATGGTGATACAAGTTAACTAGGTAGCCCGGAGCCCACATGGAAGCAGTTCACATGTGAAGGTTAGATATAGTGATAATTATTAATGTTAATAAATATGGCAACACAAAGTGAAAATAATAGAGGTAGGCATAAATTCCTAAGATAAAATTAGTATAGTAAAATCAGGTAACTAAATTATAAGAATAGTAATTTTTATCATCTTTATTTCCTACCCACATTCATCAATTTACATTCTCTCTCATCTGACCTCTAGACTGTAAGATGCTTAGTAGAAAAAATGGATCTTAATGGCTTGCTAGCACTGACAGTGCTTTGGGTCCTACGCATTTGTGATTTTCAGGTCAAAATAGGAAATTTCACAGAGATTGCTTAAAAGTGTATTAAACTAATTTTTGAGTGATTAGTGCGTATCTGGATCCCATTCTTCCAAGACGTGGCGTGCACTAATGCCATGTCATGCAATTAACGTGACCCCGAAGGAGACGCTACGATATTCTTCAATTCCTGCTTCGCCTAGCCTACTTAAATGCAGAGTTAAGCTGCTCTACAAATGCTTGCAGGATTTGGGCCTCAATTTTACAAACCAGGTAATAAAATGGTAAACAGAAGGGGTCTTGACTGAAATGAGAAAGGCTCAGGTTGAGTAGGAGAAAGGTTTTCCCTTGAGACAGAAAGCAGAGGGATAGGCTTTGTTAACAGCCTGTGCAGGCTCCATCCTGGGAGGTTTCAAGAGACAAGTGGATAGTCCTCAGC